CCCTGCTGTCCTCCCAGTCCTCCTCCCTAGCCTGCGGCCCCGGCCTCCCCATCAGACTGCAGCTCCCGGAAACAGCCGAAGCGCAAAGCCTCGCCCCGCAAGTGGCCTGGACCTTACGTCATCGAGGGAGAGGGAGCCGTGGCCAGCGCAAGGGACGGCGAGGCAGTCCAACGGGTCTGTGTGCATGAATGACCCCATTTGACAGAAGGGAAAACAGAGGCTCTGGGCGATTCACTCACAGTGCTAGTTAAGGGCAGAGCTGGCACCAGGACCCATGTATCCAGGCTCCCAGGACCTCGCCACCCCCGCTCCCAACTAGCACGTGGTCTCCCACAAAGGGGTGTCTCTGGGTGGTCACTGGTCCCTTCTCAGCCTCCCCCGTCAGCCAGGTAAGCGCAGCCGTGCACCGCCAGCAGCTCACCAGGCACCAGAGGGCAGTGCCCGGGAGCCGCACGACGCCACGGGTAGGATGCTAGCGCCACGCCATCACCAAGGACCAATTCTCCGCCTGGTGGGGCTAGGGCTGTGTCACTGCGGCATAGACTTCCCGGGGGGCCCAGGCTCTAGGACCCTGCAGGGCGGGAGGGTCTCCTACCCAAGTCCCTGGGGCTGCACCAGACGGGCGGCGTGGGCCAGCTGGGCGGGTTTCCTTGCTGCGTGGCTAGTCCTTCAGCCAGGGAAGTGCAAGTCCTGCCAGCGCCAGTCAGAGCAGGCGCCCGGGCCAAGGGGGGACCCTGTGTGCTCTGCTTGGCAGATGGAGGTCGCCGGCACAGGAAGAGGTGGAGGAACGGGTTACTGTGGGGCAGCCAGTTACGGTCCCACCCGCCCGCTGCCCGTGCCAGTCGGGGGCCACGTGGGACCCAAAGTTCCTCCCCAAGGAGCAGAACTCCTGGTGCCGAGACGAACGCCAGCTGCAGGGAGCCCTCGGACGACCTCCAGTGTACCAGCACATCCTGCTCTAAGGGGCTTCCTTGCTCCCTCGGAACCAGCCGCTCGCACCGGGACGCCACGGCCATCTCCAGCCTGGAGCCCTCCAGACAGTCCGGGCCTCCAGGTCAAGGCCCGTGCGGCTCCGGGAATGCCTAGGGCAGGACCAAGCTGGGTGGCCTCTTTTTAAGAGGGCCCTGTAAGAGTCCTCGTGCACGCGCCAGGTGTGAACGTGCCCCATGGCCGTGAGACCCCCCAGCCACTGCCATGCACCGGGCTCCATGTGCCAACAGGCTGGCGAGGACTGCAGGGCATCCCAGCCAGAGCAGGGGATTAAACATTAACCACCCGGGACAGGCAGGCGCAGGATGCCCGGCTCACTCACCTGTGATGAAGACGGCTTTCCCGGCCACCGGGAGCCTTCTCGGCTGGGCTTGGCAGCCCAGGGCCAGGCAGGCGGCCGTGGCAAGGGGGGCACCAAGCGGCCAGGGCAG